TGTCTTACCAGCTTCCTTTAATTCCATCACTGGTCCAATCATTAAATCCTCACGCTGTGCTCTACTCAATTCATCAGGACTGATGACTGGTATTGACTGGTTCTGGAGGATAACCATGTCGGGAGCTGTCAAATTTAGAGCTGCAACCCAGGCTACATCTTGGTTTTTCCACATCAAATTACCCTCCCAGGTTGTTTGGATGGCCGCTTGTGACAAACCCTCTGTGCACTCACTGATGTAATGGTCCATGTCCAAGGGGGACCGAGACAACATGTCAGCATCATTGTTACTCTTGCCAGGGCGGTATTTTATCTCAAATCGGAAATCTGCAAGTTCCCCCACCCAACGATAGCCTGACGCGTTCAACTTTGCAGAACTCATCACATAAGTGAGAGGATTATTGTCCGTATATATTGTGAAATACGGGGCATAGAAAAGGTAGTCGCGAAACTTTTCGCACACTGCCCACTTGAGTGCGAAAAATTCCAGCTTACCGGAATGGAGTCTATAATTCTTCTCAGCTGGCGACAATGTCCTTGAGCCATACGCAATGACCCGTAATTTACCCTCTTGTCTCTGATAAAGCACCGCCCCCAATCCTTGCTCTGAAGCATCGGTGTGTAGTACAAACGGTGCATCAAAGTTGGGGTATGCCAGCACGGGCGGGTTGGTAAGCATGTCAATCAATTTGTCCAGACTCTGTTGGTGTTTGTCTTCCCACACTATAGGATTTCGAGAGGGCAGCTGTAGACCCCTTTTCTTTTCCTTTCTCCGTCCTTCTTGTGATGCAGCTCCAGCTGTGTGTGCCTGAAGAAGCTCATAAATTGGTTTAGCTAACCTGGCAAAGTCCTGGATGTAGGTTCTGTAGTAGCTCAGGAAGCCCACCAAACGACGAACTTCTCCAACGTTTTGGGGAACTTTGTCACGAAGTACCCTCACAGCCTCCAGATCTTTGGGGTCAACTCTTACCCCATCTGCTGACACAAGACGACCCAAATACCGGACTTCATGTTTGAACAGCTCGCACTTAGCTGGACGCAGCTTAACTCCATGATGCCGGAGGGCCCTGAACACAACCCGCAATTTCTTTACATGCTCTTCAAAGGATTTAGCAAAGCAGAGCACATCGTCCAGGTAGGGCAGGCAACACTCATCACGGATGGACTCTAACATGTCTTCCATACTCCGCTGAAAAGCGGCTGGGGCATTGGACAGACCAAAGGGTATCCTTACCCATTCGAAGAGGCCCCAAGGAGTCACAAATGCTGTCAAATGTCTCGACCCTTCTGCCATAAACCCCTGGTGATATGCCTTTCCCTGGTCAAGTATGGAGAACCAGCGGTAACCACCCAAGGTGTTCATGAGGTCCTGGATCCTTGGCAGAGGATGACGATCTGGAACAGTTTTCTTATTGAGCTGCCGGTAGTCAATACATAAACGTAATGTCCCGTCTCTCTTGCGGACACATACTACCGGAGCAGCATAGGGTGAACGAGATTTTACTATCCAGCCCTTGGCCAGCAATTCTTGTATATACTCTTTTACCTCTTTTAAAAGTGGTTTGGGTATGGAAGTATAAGCCTTCTGCACTGGAATATCATCCTTTAAGCTCAAAGTCATCTGTAGGCTGGGGATGTTCCCAATGTCAGTTTCGTTATGAGCAAACACAGCTGACTCTTCATAAAGTAGTTGTCTCACAATGGCTTGTTCACTTGATTTTAGGTGAGTAAGGTCCACAGGGGGATGCCATGGTGTATCACTTTCCTCTGGCAAGATGGGTAGTGGTGAGGTACTTTTCTGTGGGTTGTTTAGGTCCTCTTGCTCTGTCTGGATAATCTTAGCAATGGCTGCTATTTCTCCAAGTATAGCTCTTTTTGGAATGGTCACCTCATGCTTAGTGTGATTTCCAACTGGAACTCTTATATATGACCGTCCACTTTTGTTAATTTCCACCAGTCCTCCTCCAAGATCCAGATGTGATAGATGTGGGGTGTCTTCACTTGGCTCAAACAGTACTCCCGTGTCTGAAGTGGTGAAGTTGGGAGGTACTCTACATTTTACATTAGCAACCTGACCTGGCTGAATGGTGACACTTTGCGGCCCTACTCTCACCCATGCTGTGTCTGCATGTACTTTATGTGCACTAATGAAGCCAACGGACACTTTAACCAGGTCATCTTGGTTACCTTCAGTGCTACTCATGAGAGAGTGTAAGGTAGTGAGGATGTTTGTACTATCTATAGGTCCTGCAATCAACTCCGCAATCACATTAAATCCCAAAAGAGGCCTTTCTAATTGTAGTTGACTGACTAAAAAGGGCACCTGGATAGAGTAACGAGTCCCGTCTTGTCCAGGCAAACTTACTGTGGCCTCAACCCATCCACTAAATGGGATTACTTCTCCATTGATAGCAAACACCTCCAGACCAGCACTGGGCCCCACTATTTCAGATAAGGGGTGAACCTCATGTGTGGGTAAGTATTTTTCCCTCCAGCTTTGATCTATAATGCTTACTTGTGCTCCAGTGTCGAGGAGCATGCTTACTTGTTTATCTCCAATTTCTCCATCCAGTAGACACTTCTTTCCGACAAACTGGACTATTCTCTCCTCTGAGTGCTCAGGTTGTCTTGGCTGTGGTCTCCTTGCAGAACTATTCCTATTATTCCATGAACCAACACTGACTGTATATTTGTGGCAGGGTGATCTGGAATCGGAAACTGTTGTTCATGCAGACCCTCCTCAATTTGTCGGCACAAGCTGTTGAAACTAATCTCAGAAGTAGAGTCACCAATCTGGCCTCCATGAACTTTAAACTCTCTCCGTGAGAAAAATGGTAGTTCCCTCCTGCTTATCTGGTCTCCCTCGCTGTGTAAGGTAGGATAAGTTGGAAAGGGAAGTGTGAGAGGGCTGACTCGTGGGGGCAGGGCATGGGGATTCGTAGCTTGAATTTTTGCTCCAAGCTCCTCATACATCTTCAACATCTGCTGATACTCAGTGTCTACCATGTTTGTGTGTGTGTGACTGGTACTTGTGTTTGCATCAGGTGTTGTGTGATCAATATGACCCTGGGCTCTCCCTTTACTTGGGTCATGTGTTTTATTTTCCTGTGCTGCTATTTGTTTAGACTGAGAAATCTGTAAAACCTTGTCTCTTAAGTCCAGTAGCACACCTATTCCCTCATCTTCCTCCCCCATTAGACGCTTACAGCACAAAAACCCACTAACATAATCAAAACATCCCTCTTCATCCTCTAATAACTCTTGCGAGTCGGCCCTTTTGTCTATTTGTTCAATGTCTTTAGCAATAAGGAAGAGTTCATCAGCAGAAAGTTCACAGAGCTCTTTCCTGATCTCTCTCACCAGATTTCTTCTCTCGTTTGCCATAGTACTAACTTTTTCTCCACTGTTAGCACCTTCCAAACTACAGCAGGAAATCCAATTCAGAATCCCCAGCTGCTGGTCTTCGGATTCTTTGGGATAAACTCCACTCGTCCAGCAGGTGGCGCTGATCCCGGACGAGCCCCCAAGAACTGTAGCGGGTCCAGGACTCCTGTATCAGCTGACAGTTTAGCGATCCCAGCAATCTGTTAAATGGTGGAATAAACACAAGACAAATATATGCGTGTGATCAGCTCTCCATGTTACTGGGCTATCTTTATTTTTCTCAACATGTTCACATCAAACAAATTTAAATGGCAACACTTGCAATATCTAAAATAAATTGCTATAGCATTTACTGTTCATACATATTGACTGTTTCAGCCTCCTTCTTGTAAATAAACAGCATTTCTTTGACAAATATATTCATCAGCCAATAGCTGTGTAGTACATCTGTGTATTCACATGCTATTTAGTGTCATATGAATCAAATAAACTTAATTGGCTTTTATCTGTACCAAAAATGCATTAAACATGACATTCTCTGAATGTTTTGCCCATATAGATCACTCACATGCACTTTTTAAAGCATAATAAACATTATTAGAACTGAAATACATGTATATACAAGCATATTCACCTTTATTAAACTATTTGAGTAGATATAAATCCCCTTAAATCGCGGGTAAACATTGCGATTTTAAACCCTCATTAAACATGTAAATGTAATCAAACACAAACCTTTTCCAAAGACTTAATATGCACAAACATGTATACTTTCCATATCAATACAGATTGACACTTAGAACAGTCAACTAACCTGTTAAATGGTGGAATAAACACAAGACAAATATATGCGTGTGATCAGCTCTCCATGTTACTGGGCTATCGCGAGCAGTCCAGAAAAGGCTAAATCACACACTGTGCTCTCTTAGCGCCCTCTATCGCTCTGGCGGAACCACCATTCCCTTTATGCATTTACACATGCATATCATTAATATCCTCAATTGTGGCAAACCAATATTTGGGGTGTCACACATATATTTCTCAGTTCTCAGAAAATTATCCCTGGGCACATTTTCCCAATGAGCCTGTGTTAACCATATCTACAGAAAACACTACTTCACTGTCTCAGCATCAAACTTTTTGTCTGTTTGTGATATTTACTAGCTTTTTCTTTCTTTTAGTAAACATTTTAGGTTCCCCAACACTGTTTACGAAAACTCAGATCCACCAACACTACAGAACTAATATAGTATTTGTCCATAGCACTGTATGTTCCAAACCCTATATAGTTCACAGTGGAATGACCTTGTCCACAATCAAACTCCTAAATCCCAGTTTGCCAGCCAGCCAGCTGACATCTATGTCCTGTATGTGATCATAACAGACAGATTTACGAGATTAACCAGTACACCGTTTATCACTACTGACGGAGCCTATATATGATTCATCTATAGACAAAACACGTACAACCTCTTTTTTATCGAAGAGATGGTAAAATGTAAACGACAGGTTGTATACGACCACTAGCACTTAATAGGTTACTTAGTTAACGATTATCACAATAAGCCCAGGTTATAAAGCTTGACTCGATGAAGATCTGAATTCACTTTGAACAGCTTTTCCTTCATGAAGAGACAAACTTTTGAGGCTGAAAATGAGAGCGCTGGTAATCCTTCTGACAATAAGCGTCCTTCAGATTTCACAATGTGTTGTGCGAGTTTCGGTGAGTCAGAATTGGTCCATTCTCACAAATCGCTCTCATTTCGTGAGGCTGGATGGGATTGGGCGGTTGTTTGGGGAAAGATAATATTGACTCCATTGTCAAGGCAGTGAGAATGTGGCGGTGCAATCTTTTGTGTTTGGTGTTTGTGTGCTTGGCAAAAGTGGAAGTTTTTTTAATTCTGTTTTCTTTTGAAATGTACAGTAAACTAATCAATCAATATCAATCAATAAAATGTTTATCAGGTTAATTTTAACAGAAAAGGTTGGTGCTTTTCTGCCATTGACATTATATGTGTTTTAATGGGAATATTTTGAAATCATAGAAGCTTAAATGTTCTTTATAGTGCAAAGATGATTCTTTAGATTTGTAAAATGTTCTGTAAAAATAGAAAATATAACAAAATTCAGAAATACCTCATATAAATATCTACAATTTCCAAATATCTTTTAGGTATGACAAGGTCATAATTATTATTTACAGAGTTGTATTATTTACAGAGGAATATAATTTACTTTCAGAGTACATTTGTCAGATTTCTCTAATTGAAACTGACATTGATTACATTTTTGTTGATGTAGTTTGATCTGGCTTGCTGTATTATTCAGACTTTTGATATGAATCAATGTAAATGGAAGCTAATGATTGCTCTTCACTGACAGTACATTCATTTAAAAGAAACCCTTTCCGCATACAAATGTCTGTCAGTTTAAATAAGTACAAAAAGCATGTTTTATGACTGTCAAATGGGGAGCGGGTGGGGAGGGGAGTGGATTCCTCTGCAATGTGTGACAATAATTCACGTCTTGTCTTCTTCCTGGATGTCTGTTTTATAGGACAGCGGGTACAGTTTCTCCCTGGAGGCAGTGAAGACCCTGAAAAAGCTTATGGAGTTTGACACCAGCACAAACCCGTCACAGACCTACGGCAACGCAGAGTCCCTGTGTGCCGACCCTGACCTGCCACGAGAGTTCAGAGAGCTGTGTGGAAAACATAACGTCAATCAAGTCTTCCAAAATCTGGGTAAATCTTGAGAAACCTAGTTGCATTTAGTTGTACAGTACATATATTTAACTGGTACTTGGAGTGTACTTGGTTATACAAGGTAACTACAGGGGTTAAGGTGATACTATATAGTTATTTCCCCTTTCACATAGTACATACTTGCAAAACACAACTCTAAAACAAAGTCCTATTAAGATTTCAGATATAATCTTGAAGCTTAAAGGGCCATGAAACCCCCTCGTTTCAGCAGGGTGTTTTTACACCTCTACTTTGGAAAAAGTCAGAAAAGTGGGCGTGTCCAGCTCTGTTTAGGGGGGAGTGTCGGAGGAACTAAAGTGGGAGGGTGTGGGAGTGTCTATTTGGGCACGCGCAAGTTTCAGTCAAAATACTCACACACAGTAGAAAGTGATGGTGTTTAACCTACATGGACATCTGTAGTGGAATTATTTGCCAAATTATTAAATGGTGGACTTTAACTGCAGTTTGGCTCTTTCATTCAGGGAATTCATTCATGCCCCTCGCGACAAACGAGATATTTGATGCAATGTTTGATACCGCACGGCGAATGAGAGAAAAAAAAACCTCAGCATTTTCCGGAAACTTAGATGCACACGGCAGGTAGCGTCAGAAAGCCGCGCGTGTTATTCCGGTCACTAAATGCAGTAAAAACCCTACACGAGGTTAAAGTTTGGTTGTGGTCCTAACATGTTACGGTGCAATAGTTAACTTAGTTCGATACGAACAAACTGAATAAACAAAGAGCACTGGTCGCTCACTTACCAAATCTGTAGAGACAGGACAATCACCAGCAACTAGAGCCGCGTCTTTATGAAGAGAAATACTACAAGCGAATCCGATCTCAGTGTTTGCAGATGAGAACAGCTCTCAGGTAAACAATAATCCTCCTTAGACACGTAAGTTATTGTTGTCGAGCGTCGCGTACACTGTTAATCCACACGTGAGTCTGAGCTCTCACAGAGAGAAAAAGAAAACGAAACTTAACGGCAGCAAACTATAAAAGCAACACTTCACGCTTGTTTTGCCAACACAACGTGGCGTCTATGTCGTGTAAACAGTAATGAATATTAATTAAATTGCACAGTAGAGCGCGCTGATTGGTTTGAACCAAGCCTTACTCATGCATTAATGCAACACACTGTAAGACGTAATAAGACTCACTCTGGCACAGACACCCAGTCTGCACGCTGGAATACACGCTATCATGGCCGTGACGCAGCTTTAAAAATTCGTTTCAAGCAGGAAGTACGAATTTGGTTGAAATAATGCAAAAACAACCAATTTACACTTTTTAGTGAAATATAGGTGTCTTAATAGTGTTTTTAGCAGTGTGGGACACATATACGACTGTCAACAGCTCAAAAAATGTGTTTTGGTGTTTCGTGACCCTTTAACATTGCAGTAACATTACAATTAAAATGTTTTTTTAATCATTTATTTTTGATAGAATCTAATTTTTTTTTTCAAAAAAGGGTAAATAAAATTGATCAAATTTTGTTTATGTAGCACAGAAAAATAACCTGTTCTTTTGAACGATTTATTAATGAATGTAATATTGAATCATAAAAAATGATGACACATACAGTAAAATGTTTTGCTTGGAATGTTTCTGAAACAAAATGTGAGCAAATTAAAATGGTTTCTGCTCTTTAAAAAATGATTTGTTTGCTTAAAAATGTGTAAATTCATTGCCTTAAAATTACTAAGTAAATGTATTATGCTTATACTTATAAAAAACAAGTAAAATCAACTTGACTGTTCAAAGTTGCAATCAGTTTACTCACTTTACTAAAGTAAAGTCAACTTGTTGCTTTTAAGGAAACTGTTTTACAGTGTAGAGTGTCTAAAATCTGAAATTATAGTAATATTTTACATTAAAATCCTAAACAAAAAATACTGGCAGTGGCGGGCCCATGAAGAACCTTGAACATTCATAGAAACTTTGCATTACAGAAAAGGTTCTTTAAAGTAAAAATAAAAAAAAGGTTCTTACGTTCTTTTTTTATTGAAACATGTTTCACACCAAGAAACATACAATTAATTTAAGAACTCTTTGCTGAAAGGTTTTTTATGAGCTAATGCACAGATCCAATATTGACCCACATGTCTTTCTCATCTGTTTATGTTCACTTAATTCAGTGGTTCTCAAGGGGTCGCAAGACAATGACAGGGGGTCGCTTGGAGATTTAAATAAGTCAAATAAATTTTAATAAACTATTAGAATTACAATATTTTAACCGTAACCCACAGAAGATAAAAATAGTCGTTTTTAAAAGTAAAAAACAACAACATGCAAATGAAAAGCTATCAGTTTTTCAATTATTTTTTCATAGGATCATTGTGTTTATGTTAGATTAACAACACAGCAATAGTGTCAGCTGCAACAGATGGATTTATAGCACCAGGCTAAACTTTCTGACACCTTTATGACAATCAAATGCAATAGAAATAAATACAGGCCACAACTGAATATTGAGAATGATCTCTGATTAGTGGTCTCCAAAATTAAACCAAGAATAGACTTGTGCTGAAAACATTGTGCCCACCAGTCTCTTTAGTTGAGGTTAATATTAAATTAAACAAATTAATACATGACTATAAAAATGATATGGTTGTTGGACTGTTGCTTGTGTTTATATAGACCTATTGTTGTATGAGCAACGCTTGCACATGTATAACTACCTAAGAGGAATTTGGGGGTCACGAGTTACTGGCATTGCTATTTTAAGGGTTGCTGGCTGAAAAGTTTGGGAAACCCTGTCTTACAGTATATCGTAACCAACTGTGTTTATAATGATCTTCACCAAGACAGGTTTTTTTATTGTTGTGTGTGTATTTGTCTATCTAAGCAAGAGAGGTAGGGTGAAGAGTCTGCCACAGAGAAGATTTTATGATTTCATTATAAACATTTAATTTCATTTATATCCACATATATACCAAAAACTGTATCTTTTACAAACTTATGGCAGCGCAAACATCTTCTTGTAGATATAAAAAGTATATCAGGGGTTCCTAAACTTTTCAGCTCGCGACCCCCCCCAAAATAACAATTCCAGTACACAATAACACCACCATCTCGGAGGTGGTTATAAACATACAAACTTTGCCCACAACAGTTCACACACACCAATAGGCCTATATAAACACAAGCATATTAACAACACAAAACAGTCTAACAACCATATAATTTTATTTTGTAATTTATTTATTTGTTTACTTTAATATCAACCTCATCTAATGAGACTGATAGGCACAATGTTTACTGCAATGTTTACTGCACTTGGTTTAATTTTGGAGAATTCATCCTCCATGTTCAGTATGATTTTTAAAAATCTTTAAAAACACAACAAAAAATGTAATGTATGCGAGTTATGTGAGGTTGTCAAAGTTTACCATGATGCTCTGAAATTAATCTGCTGCAACTGACGCTATTGCTGTGTCCTTAATATAATGTAAACACTCCAGGGGTTGCTTTTAATGTGCATGTTGTTTTAGTGTAACTATTAAATAATTTTTATCTTCTGTAGGTTATGGATAAAATATGGTTCCTAACAGTTTAATAACACACTTGATTTTTGGAAATAATAAAGCAACCAAAAAAAAAACTCTGAAATGGTTGTTCTGTGGCATCACTGACAGAATTGTATTTCAGAACATGTCATTTTAAGAGTTTATCAGTCTATACTGTTTTCCTTTTTTTATCAAAGAAATGTAGCCTTGCATTGGAGACTTACATAAACAGAAATCAACACCAGTATATACTGCAAATATTAAATGCCATGGCAACTAGGTGTTTTTATTTTTTTGGATTTCGCATAATAAAAGAAACATGACAAATGAACAAAGAACACAATTTATAAAGTCAAACAGGATGCGGGTGAAACAGTGCATCAGCTCAATCATTTTCATTCACTTTAGTGCACTCAGATGCCATGTACTATGATGAGTTAAAAAAAAGTGTGCTGTTTCAGGAACTTCGATCAGCTCATGACTTTGTTATTAAATTCTGAGCACCAAAAACACTTGCTTTGCCTCTTCAGAAGCTCAAAAGTGTGTTCCTCCAGTTAAGTTCAACAAGCATGTGATTTCCTGTAGGCATGTTTGATGCACACACAAAAATTCTTTTGAACTTTTATTGTTTTTCTCACCGTGCTTCAAAGGGCAGCCTGATTTCCCTGTCAGTCTTCCAGGCACGCATTAGTTTTCCCCATTGGCAGCAGACAGACAATGCTGGGGTGTAATCACCTTAACTGCAATGCTGCAACCGCCATAACATATCCGCTATATTAGACCTGGATAAAAAAATATATTATTGCTGATCATATTTCTCTAGTCTTAGGATACCTTTGCATAGAAGTCACTGGAAGTTGGTGGAAGTCACTCATAGATTGAACATGTAATATGCATGGGCACGTTGAACCAAAATTGTGTTTACAAGGAGAAGATATGGATTTAATTTTCAAAAACATGCTCTTAGGCCCACAAAATGCTGTTGTTGTGCACATGTATCACCAAAGGACATAAAACATCTGTTTTTAGTTGTTATGGGCTGTTTGACTCAAGTAAAAATCCTAATATTTTATGCATTTGGCTGTTTACTCAGACTTGAGACCTGCTGACTTCAATAACTTGCATAAACCTAATGATGTCAAATAATGATGATGATGTCAATAAATTTAAACTTAACTTCATATTTAAAATGGCTATAAAAGGATCCTTAAAAATCTGTGCTTAACTTGAAATGTATATCAATGGCGTAAAGACAGATTTTTAAGATTGTTTTAAACAGAGGACAACATCTAAAACAAAACAGGCTATAATTATAGGCTATAGATGAAATCAAGGGTTCAATTTGACCTGTTGGCAAAACAAAAGATGAAACAATCATTCAAACTAATTTAATATGTATTTTAGAAACAAAAACAAACAAACAAACAAAAATTATTATAAAATAAAATATAAAAAAGAGGATGGGCAAAGATGCACCCGTCTTGTTTATGTGACAGACAGTGTGTCCTTGTAGTTTACTTTGCATAAATTTAAATACATTTTAAAATAGATTTATAGAAGAAAACGTTTTATAAAGAATTATTTAAATAAAATGAAAACAAATGATAGTTTTTACAAAACATGCACACTATAAACACTACTAATGCAAGCTGTAATTCAGTTAAACAATTTCAATTTGATTGCGCCAATGCTTTGTTACCTCTCCCTCCTCTGGCTACATGTCAGTTCCGTTAACCCAATTTGTTCCGAAACCTCGCAATTTACAAATTAAGCACTGCATGCAAACGTTTTTCACACCAAGAATTAAATGGTTCTAAGATATCTTTATTAAAAGATTCTTTAATGAAGCCAAAATGGTTTTACAGTTTATGGCAGTTTTTAATTCTTTTTAATTTTTATTTTTAATTTTCTGTAATCAAATTGAGTTAAACATGTTAGCTTTGTATACGTGTTATATCACAGCAAATTCAGTTTCTTCTCCATTGTTATGTATTAAAATAAACTAGTGTCAGGTTAAAGTTCTAATAAACTGTAAAAAGTCGTTTTGTGTGAGGACAACATGAAGGAATTAAAGGGCACCTATTTTACCCATTTTTCAAAATTGAAGATGCATCTTTTGTGTCTCCAGAGTGTGTCTGTAAAGTTTCAGCTCATAATGCCCATCAAATTATGTATTATCCCTTTCAGAATATTAGAGTTTTCTGCTCTGAACACAATGTAGCTGTTTTTGTTGCCTGTGCCTTTAATGCTAGTTCTCCCTCCCACCGTTCCCAAGTGCCTGTCAGAGTTGGCCTCAATCTCCGGCTGCGTCTGATAAACAGCACTATGACAGACATGAAGGAAGCAGATCTCATATAGCCTTTGTGAGAAATACTACAGTAAGAAATTTCCCAATGAATATTTGATGTATTAGTTGTGGAGTTTATTCAAGCCTTTCGATGACACACACACAATGTTGTTACAAAGTTCACATACACACACACACGCACACACACAGCACGCGTGTTTAACTTTGCACTGTTTGTGACAGGATACCTTTTAATATCCACTGCTGTGTGGATATCCTTTATGTTAATGTACAAAATAAACCAGATTTAACATCCATAAACCAGGATTGAAGTGTCTTCTTTTATAGCCTAATTGTACTGACATGAGCTGTGGTGATAAAGACGGTAAAATCGCTGTAATTCATTACAAACATGCTTGCTCATTATTGATCACATGATGATTTATGATCACAGAAAGCAGAACAGACATTTTAATCTTAGTTACTTTGTGCACATCCGGTCTTGTTCTGTTTACATGCGTTACTACGGAGACATTTTAATACGCGACTGTCAATCAATTTGGTGGGCGGGGAAACCGTACTCCTACATCACATTAAGGTGGGCCTCAAAATTAAGAGATCTGGATCCTATTTCAATGTCAGGAAATTTAAAAAAGAGAGTTATTGTTTTTAAATCACTGCAATATGACTGTGGACACACTATACTTACAAATACTTCTGTTCAAACTGCTTCCAAAAGATATTTTCATCATAGGTGTACTTTAAGTTAACTTAATAGTTTTTCCAAATTTAAGTAGATTGAACATAAAACAATTCATTTGTCCCCCAAATTACCTCAAGAATTGTTTTATTTCAGCCCATCTATTTTCGGGGTGTTCGCCTTTACATAGATAGGAAAGTAGAGAAAATTGACAGGAAAGCATTGGGAGCAGAGAGGGGGGAAAGGATCAGCTAAAGACCACAAGCCAGAATCGAACTCAGGCCACCGTGAGCACGAGAGTGCATGTGTCGACACACTAACCACTAAACCACTGGCGCCAACTCAGCTCATTTTAATAAGGGGTTTGAATAAATAACAAATGGCATTTTGTGAGTGTAAAATATTACCTCTATCTAAATAAAATATAAACTCTAGTAATTGCTATAAGCTGTGAAAGTTCGAGCTCTGAGCAGTAAAAATGTACTTTAGGGAGGCAGACAGTGATCTTGCCGCATGTGTAATTGTCTCTTTGTAAACATGGCCTCTCTGTAATGGGCCGTATATTTTATTGCCATCTTAAACACTAGACAGTTTTATTTGCTGAATGTGAGAGCACTCCAGACGTTTCAGACGTGTTACGTCGCATTATTATCAGCAAACATAATACAGTCATTAGGTGGCAGAGACTGACCTTTTTACGTTTTGTCAACAGTGAGAATCATCAGTCCTATAGACCCCTGTGAGATCTGTGCCAACGTGGCCTGCACCGGCTGTTAACCCTGCACACGGAGACCTCCAGTTCAGGACTCTATCAGTGCTGTCAAACATGCACCATCACTAGACACAACATTTTTTGTATTTAATTTTTCACCACCAAGAGAAACGTATATTTAAGCGAGTTTTATCAAATGTTTGGGCTGCATGGTACAAATAATTTTTAGACTAACGGATACTGCCACCTAGTGAATCTATTATGTGTGTTACAGAGAGACCTTTTTAGGACAGATATATTAGAGTAGGATTAACCCTATAAGTCATTACACTGTAACAAGCACACTGTAAAATAATGTAACCCAACTTTACATTGTTGCATTGTACGTTTTCTTAAAATACACTGTAAAAAATCCTTGGCTACATGCATTTGTATAACTACAAGCATCTGAACACTAACCCTGCATTAGTAACATGTTGTTACTGTATCATAACACGGTAATTACACTGCAACAAACACATTTTATAATAATGTAACCACTTCATTTTATAGTGTCCTTGAATGAACAATAACTCTATACAATGTTGTAATAACTGTAAAGTAACGCAGTAGCTGCACTGTAATAAGCTCAAAGTAAAACAATGAGAAGCTTTATTTAAACTTGTATCATACAGTTATAACACTGTAACAAGCATATTAGAAAATTACACACACACAGCACACATGCGTACACTAATAACAGTAAATTGTGCATAACAACTTCTAACATTTAGCCCTAATATGATACATGTTGTAACATTATACCGTAATGCAGTAATAACACTATAACAAGGACACAAAGTGTATCCCATTTTACTTTACAACATAATTCAATATTATAATTTTCTTTGGGACATGTTTCTTGTACTTACTGCAGTATATTATGTTCGAAGTTCTAAGGGGTAGAATATTGTATAGTGTAATAGATATTATCCAGGTTATGAAATAAAGAAAATATTCTGTGGTCTGGAAATGATTTTAAATAAAATGATTTTGTCTATGTTAGAGTTTATTAATAGTTTTTTTTTATTAACTTGGTGCTAAACAAATTGAATTTGCTTTTTAAATAGAGCTATTCAAGCTATCTGGTTAATTATATATGTATTGCAATATAAATTGCAGCAAAACAAAATATCGCAATGTCAGATTTTTCCAATATAGTGCAGCCCTACTTTTTACTATATCAGTATTTGAAAATAACACTTTTTAAAAGTTTAATTAATGTAATTTTATACATTCATCAGATAAATAAATAGTTCACATATAAAGAGAGGAGAGAGGGAGGTGCAGATGCTAGTTAATTTTTTTTTTTATTTCATTATATCAACATTTTATCTCATTTAAATCCACATGTATACTATAACCATATCTTTTACAAACTTAAGGCTGTGCAAATATCTTTCTGTACTGTAGATATACACTACCTGACAAAACTCTTGTTGTCAATGCCAGTTGTAAGAGTAACAAATAATAACTTGACTTCTAGTTGACTATTTGGAAAAGTGGCAGAAGATTTTTTTTCTAATGAATAATCTGTTGAACTGCATCCCAATCATCACAAATACTGCAGAAGAACCTAATGGAACCTACATGGACCCAAGATTCTCACAGAAATCAGTCAGGTTTAGTGAAAAAAAAATCATGGTTTGGGGATACATTCAGTATGTGGGCGTGCGAGAGATCTGCAGAGTTGTTGGTAACATCAACAGCCTGAGGTATCAAGACAATTGTTCTGCCCGTTACATTACAAACCATAGGAGAGGACAAATTCTTCAGCAGGATAGCACTCCTTCTCATACTTCAGCTCCACATCAAAGTTCCTGACAGCAAAGAAGGTCAAAATGCTTCAAAAGTGGCCAGCCCAATCCCCAGAAATTAACATTATTGAGCATGTCTAGGGTAAGATGAAGGTGGAGGGATTGAAGATGATTCCGAAGATTTTTGATGAACTCTGAGAGTCCTGTAAGAACGCTTTTTTTGCCATTCCAGATGACTTTATTAATAAGTTATTTGAGTCAGTGCAGAGATGTATGGGTGCAGTCCTCCAAGCTCATGGCAGTCATAAACATTAAATTATTTTTCCACTGCACCATGACTTTATATCCTTTACTGTACATTATTTCTGTTAAGTGACAAGACTGTTGTCTAAGCAAAGTCAGACCTTACTGTCCTAATTAAATCATTAAAAACAAGTCATGATCATATTTTGTTTTTGTAAAATTAGAGGGATCTAGAGGCCCTTACCTTTCATTTAAGCCACTTGATGCAAACTGATCAACTAGAAGTCAAGTTATTATTTGTTGTTCCTAAAAGGCGACAAGACTTTTGTCAGGTAGTGTACAGCATATTAAAAACCCAAGATGTTTTTCTGTGGCAGAATTATATTTCAAATTTTATTTATATAATGTGTTAGGCTATAGGCCCTATTTATGGTTGTCTTCAAGTAAAACAGACATTAGAGGTAGATTAAATTGTAAAGTGTATGCATCCGGTTATAAAGCTATGTTACTATACAGTATTCTTCGTAAATCCTACTTAAAAACGATTTTGAACGACAACAAAAAAGAAATAAAACCGATTTTCATTTATTCAGCTGTGAAGACTCAGCCAGGGTTTAACCGGCAATGCATTGACCTTAGTCTTCCACTAGAGGTCAGCACTGTCCCGAAAAATGTTGAGCTCTTTCATCGTCGTCCAGCATGTGGAATATTAGAAACAGGTGTCCTTTTACTCCGTGCCCTATTTCTTTGTAGAAATTTAAAGAAGTTTGAAGTACATTTCCCTCAGGCAAGTACGACTTTTTTCTACCTTATAGCAACTGAATACCTTAAGCTGTAGGTTATGAACACATAATTCTTGAGATGTTCCCGCTCTTTGGAAAAACCCACGTGTTACTTACCTGAGGAACAGATGTGCTGTATTTGCTTTCACGTCTCATTATTTCAGTGTTTACTTATTTTCAAACAATCAAATTATAAGGCACTTAGAAACGTGAGCTCAAAGAGATATTTCAGTCATATTGATCGTTTGAAGCGTCTAAATATGCTTTTTATATTGACTATGAGAAACAAGCGGCTGTTTTCAGTCCAAAACATTAGGAATCAAACCTTTTTATCTTCTTCACAAGCACAAAATGAGTGTGATTCAGACAAATCCCACGTAGAATACTAACAGCTTATTGTTGGTGTTGTTTGAGAGCCTGTTATGTAAGGATATCAAAGTGGTGTTTGCGTAGGAAAAGCCGAGACCAGCGTGTTTGTATTATACTGTTTTTTTCTTTTTTTCCCTATTTGTTTGCATATTTAACAAATCTTCCCCCTGTGATTCAGAATAAGAGCTTTTCCAATCTCTCCCCATAATCACAGGCTTTTCAGGATTTCTGTATTGAGGAAAAATGGCGCAATTCGGTTTTCATTCAGAGTTAATGTAGATTATTGAACATTAGGGATATGATTTTTTTCTATCAAGGCAAAATAAAAGTTTTAATAAAATGTAAAAAAACAAAAAACAGATAAGATTAACAGAAAAACCCAATCACGTCAGAAAATACATTAGTCAGATTACGCTACCAACACTGTTCACTCAAAAAATAAGTCATTGGATGACCTCAGCTTAATCGAGGGCAGGATTTACATTAAATCTGTTTAGCACCAACTTAAACTATTTGCACATTTAAATGAAATTGAGTTGTACTAATCAAGCTGCCAACACCCTAAGCATGGGTGCTTCTGCAAGGTGGAAATCTCAAAACTCAAAGCATTACATGAACATCTTCTAAATCTTCAAACTAAAGTGAAGATTAAACGCTAACAAGTCTTTATATTAACTTTAACCACCTAAGATGAATTTTATTGTCAAAAAAGTTCTTTCTTAATTCAATCCCACACAAGGCATGCTGGGAACTACAAATCCCCTAACCAGGTAGTTAGATCAACACTGTTTCTTCATATGGTCCCAAAACAAAACACTTAATTTAACTTGGTTTAACAATTTAAGTAGACTGAACATAAAACAAACACATTGGCCTAATAAATTACAAGTATTTTGTTGTTTCAGCTCTTTTTTAATAGGTAGTTTGAACAAACAGCAGTAATCATTTCTTTAGGTAGGATTAGTTAGGTCAGGGTGATATTACAGCTTCATATCACACTACTCCACATTAAAATTTACACTGGTAGCAAAATCTGATGGGTAGCATATTGCGTTATCAAAATGTGCTTCCTACTTTTTGAATGTTGATGTAGTATTTGTTAATCTTTGCAAATAATAGTTAAATACAAATGTTATTGTTCGTTAACTTTATCTGAGTTTCATTAAGTATTATATTAGCACAACCAGCTTTAGATTAAACCATGTATTAGGAAAAATAATTAATCAATTAAAAGTATTTGAAATACTGTAATTATTACATTAATCAGTGCTTGAGAAGTCGTTTTCTATAGTTCATTAGTGTACTTGGTGTAAAAACAACATTATTATACAACAGATTTTTAAGATGAATGATGCTAGTATGGTTTTTTTTTAAGAAGCCTAAATGTAAGATTTATTTTAGTGCCAATGTGTGGAAAGCCAGCGTAGAAAAAAAATGTAAAGACTATAGAGATCTTATGGTTGTCTATGAAACCCTGCAGACTATTTTGTTTAAATGTAGAATAGGCATTTGAAATCGAGAGCCTAATTGAGAAAAAACACATCGCACACAGCTTTAGTTGAAACAATGCATTAGAAAAAGTAATACATTAAATTAAAAGTGTTTAAAAATAATTAATAAATTAGTCAATGCTTGAGAAGTAATTTTCTTAGTTTATTTTTATAATGAAACATTATTATTCTTATTATACAGTGTCATTGCAGTTTCTTCTAAATCTCACTCCAATTACCCCTGTTTGGTTTACATCTCAGAAAAATATTTTTCATAGCTTTGAGATGTTATCTTCAATGTATTTACTGAGGGCTTTCCTGGATGTGAATAAGTTACCTAAGGACATCCTTTCATTTGAAAAAAAAAAAAAAACATGTTCACTGCATCCAAACACACAATGATGTACTGTAACCCAAGCTTGTTCTGTCCATCTCAATGGGTGGCCTTTCTAGAAAAGCTTCTTTTGAACTGTTTCTTAGCTTGACCTGCTGTGATCTTGGCTCTGTGCAATAATCGAAAACAGAACAATGTATGCATACAAACAAGCCAGGCAAATGAACTTTAACAGCGGAATAATACATTAAAGAAAACGAAACAAACAGCCAGGACAAAAGTCAGCGGGTAGGCTGTGATAAGGGGATGCAGTTCCTTTGCTTCTTAATTCCAAATTAAAGTCTTGTCACTTAGAGCTGTTTTCTTTTGTAAATGAATTAATTTAAACATTTAAATGACACATTTTTGTTATTTTCATGTCATATTTAGAAGAAATAGTGTAGACATGAAGTTTGAGAGGATTATTATTCAAGTTGATGTTTAAGAAAACAAGGACATTACTCACAGTATACTAACACTATTTCAGATTTTTTTAAAGAAAATTCTGGCAAAAGTCTTGTTTCTTTTGGACTGGCTGAAAAAATTGGTTAAAAATATGTAAAGATAAAAATCAATATCATTATTAAGGGTCAATTTCATTAGCCGTTTTGGATTGGCTACAGAACAAAGCACTGCTGTCCAATGACTTGCCTAACTAACCTTTTTTAACCTAATTAAGCTATTTAAGCCTTTAAATTACACTTTAAGCTGAACACTTATATCTTTCTAAATATTATAAAACTGTCATTATGGAAAAGACTAAATAAATTAGTTATTAAAATTAGTTTATTCATTAATTTTCCTTCGGCTTAGTCCCTTATTTATCAGGCATCGCCACAGCGGAATGAACCGCCAACTTATCCAGCATATGTTTAGCAGCGGATGCTTTTCCAGCTTCAACCAATTACTGAGAAACACCCATACTTGCACATTCATGCCCACACTCATAGACTACAGCCAATTTAGATCATCCAATTCA